GCAAAGGATAACTACCACCCCCACCCCAGCCACCCTGGAAAGAGAAGCTGCATCTCTCTCACAGAAGAATCCCCAAAATGCCACACGCTTTGCACAGATGCTCCAGTCTGCAGGAAGCAAGGCTTAGTTCTTGCTACCCCTTCGGTCATGGCTTTTGCTTAAAAAAAAAAAAAATGCTGCGTCAGAGCCGGGGACAGAGAGATCTCAAAGTGGAGAAACCTGATCATCAAGGGTAGCTCCGGTGATGACGACATGCCATGCCAATGTCTGTGCCTTGGCTGTGAGGAGGCTATCCGACTTCTGGGGTTTCCTCTTTACCCAGAACCCCAGTCTAATCACAAACAAAATACCAGATCAATCCAAGTAGAGAAATATTTTACCAGACACACAGCAAGAATCTTCAAAACCATTAAGGTCCTGATGAGCAAAGGAACTCTAAGAAACCGTCACTGAGCAAGGGGAAGTGATCTGGTCTCTTGATGGGCTTATGAGGCACCAAGGGCAGTTAGTGGACATACTGGTGACATCCTAGAGGCTGGTCAACCACTGCAACAGAAGCAGGAAGCAGAGCTCTAGGGCGCTCTGTAGACAGCTGGGCTCCAGGCTCCAGAGAAGGGCAGAGTGTTGCTTCCCTCTGGTGTGCAGTAGAACCGCCAGGGGGTTCCTTACTTCAGACACCCAACCTGAAAATTCTGAGTGAACAGTCCTTGGTGGGTTTGCTTTTTTGTTTGTTTGTTTTTGGAAAGGTTTCGTGTAGCTAAGGCTGACCTAGAAATCACTATATAGTAGAAGATAAACTGGCGTTTCTGATCTCCCTGTCTTCTCTTGAGTGCTTGATTGTAGGCTTGTGGTACCACACACATCATAAGAGATTTGAGGCCTTAAACCCAGGTTTTTGCACTTGCTAGGCAACCAGCCTACCAGCTGCACTACATTACCAGCCTTATTCAGCAGGGTCACTCTGTAGGGTAAAAGGGCCAGTCAAAGAAATTCACCCTGGCCCTGAAACCAGAGGCAATGAAAGAAACACACCCTGGATCTGAGAACCAAGACAGTGAAAGACACACTTTAGCCCTGAACCCAGAACCTAAGAAACACACCCTGACTCTGAAGCCACAGCCAAAGAAACACACTTTGGCCCTTGAACCAGAGCCAGTCAGTGAAGGAAATATGGTCTGGCTCCAAAACTAAAGCCAAAAAACTAAAGGGGAAAAAACTGAAAGAAAGCCAGTTTGGCCCTGAAACCAGGGTCAGCTCTGCCCCTGAGCAAGGAAACCAACCAGTCCCTGAGCACAAAATCTTGCAACCAGTCCCTGAGCAGGAAACCAACCAGTCCCTGAGCACAAAATCTTGCAACCAGTCCCTGAGCACAAAATCTAGCAACCAGACCCTGAACCCTGAGCCAGTGAAAGAAACCGCCCTGGATCTGAAACCCCAGCCAGTGAAAGAAACATTTTAGCCCTGAACCCAGAAGCAAAGAAACACAGCCTGGAAATGAAACCAGAGCCAAAGAAACACACTTTGTCCCTAGAGCCAGAGCCAGTGAAAGAAAACACACCTTAGCCCTGAAAATAGAGCCAAAAGGCTAAAAAGGGCCCTAAAATCAGGGCCAGCTCTGCCTCGACCAACTAAACCAACCAATCCTTGAGTAGGAAAACTAACCAATCCCTGAGGAGAAAATCTCCCTGGGAGACTCTGCCCCTGAGAAGCTCTTTGTAAGTCCCCCTGCCAGCTCCGGCGTTTCCCACCACAGCAGAGGCAGCCACTCTTCCGCACTCCTTCCTAAATAAAGAGTTTTGAGTGAAGATCTTCTTTAGCTGGTACAGAGCAGAAGAACCTTTGCTGAGACATCCCCTTAGGGGGGCTGAGCAGGAAAAAAACAAAAAACAAAAAACCAGAAGAAACAGTTACATCTGTGGGGAAACTCCCTTAGGAGTTGAGCAGAAAAAGTAACTTTTCGCCTGAGCCCGAGGAGATTGCTACACTTCTGCAGAGGCTTCCCCTTGAGCAGAGCGAAGCAGAAGTAACATCTTGGCTGGCGCAGAGCAGAAGAAACAATAGCTTTGCTGGGCGTTCCCGAGCTCCGCTGTACCTGCTCACTCTGAGAGGAGCAGAATTGCTACATCCGGGAACGCATCCCCCCCACCACACCCCTTCCGATATGGCCTGACTTCCGGATGAGTCAGGATATCTTTCCTTCCAGAGCTGTGACAACCACACTCTCTATGTAGTCCTGGCTGTCCTGGAATTCACAGAGATCCTCCTGCCTCTGCCTCTTGAGTGCTGGGATTAAAGGTGTGAACCACCAGGCCTGGCTTCCCAGCCTTATTATTTAATTAAAAGGTATTTATTAGTTTTTTTTGAGGATTTTCCACAGTGGTTTTTGTGCATATTCACCCCTCACCCAGCTCCTGCCAGATCCACCCCCAGACCCTTCCCTATCCAGTTCTGTGTCCTTTCTTATTTTCACTCATCAGCTCTCACCTGTGCCGGGCATACATCCACGGATGTGTGGCCTGCCCCTGGAGCACGGTTGACCTACCAGAGACAACAGTCAAGGCTGATCTTCATTTGCTTGTCTCCTTCCTGAGACAGTCATAGTCCTAATTACGGTGAGCTCGGCTAGCCACTATCCTCGACTTTCCCTTTCTGTCAGTTGGGAAGGCATTCATTCATTCGCATAGGCCTTGCTGTCACTGGCCACAGTTGGGTCAGTTTGGTGTCCAGCACAAAGGACCTCCTCCAGCTAGATATCCATAGACCGTCATAGCCAGATGTGGATGTGCAAAGAAGGACTGGACACTTGACTATGACTGACGACTTGGAGAAGTCCCCCACACCTCCTGAATATTCCGGGTGTCTCAGGCAGGGATGCCTTCCTCGGCCGTGGCCTTGGGTTCTAGGTGGAATGCAGCGAGTTTCTGCTCCCTTGGGCCTGGGCGGCAGCAGCAGAAAGGCGAGGCGTGTTTAGTCAGGTCTACAGAAGCTGTGAAATATCCCCTGGACAGACTGTTCTAGAAGCTCATCGGTAAGATGTGAGTCCTGCTGAAACAAAAAGCCTCTGAAGATAGAAAGAGCATGAACTTCATTCATTATGTAACATCCCCGGGCTATTTGGGGCACTCCGTGAGCTTCCTAATAGAACTCTTACCACCGCTTGACGTGTGATGAGTGCGAAGTGAACCAATACAGAAAATAAGTAATTAATAGGAGCAGCCGACGCTGTTCTGATCGTCTCGACCTGGAGGAGTCTCTTTCCTCTGTGCTTCATTAATATTCTGGTCACACCACATTTATTTCAATGCAGGTCTGATGAATGACACCTGTGAATTCTTTTGGAGAATGAGAATCATTTCAAGGCATCCTGGGCTCCCAGTGCTCATTGTCCCTCCCTAGGACCTCTCCCCAAACCAGGCTGCAGCTTGCTGCCACCTTGTCTCCCCACCCACCCAAGCTGGTGCTCCTGGCTAATGCTCACTCTAGCCTTAGCTCAAAGATGATGTCTGGGTGTGGTATCGTGTGTGCCTGCAATCAGAGCACTCAGGAGGCTGAGCCAGATGGATTATGAGTTCAAGACCAGCCTGGATGATGTCTTGAGGTGTTTTCTTACTGTGAACTCAGGTCAGGAACATGAGACAGGTAGATGATAGATGATAGACAGACAGATAGATAGATGATCATTACATAGATGGTAGGTATATTAGAAATATATAGAGGCATGATAGGTAGATAAATAGATGATAGATAGGTAGGCAGATAGATGATAGATAGATGGTAGATAGCTACCTTTTGGATTTGGGGAAACTGGAGTTTCCTTTGGATCTGACAGGAATACTCTTCTGTTTGGGGTCGAACATGCACACCACAGCCACATTCTCGGCATGTTGACTGGTTCCAAGTCCATTTCCCATTGTAGCAGGGGCTTCCTGAGGATGGAAGAGGCACCAATGGGGAGAAGGCTGTCTGTCGGGGCCCATGCGATGGCTTAGTGGATAAAGACAGCCTGATGGCCTGAATTTATGTAAAACCATTGTTAAAGATAGGACTGGGATTGTAGCTTAAGGGTGGAGAGCTTACCTACCACATGTAAGGCCCTGGTTTCTATCCCCACTGTTGAGACAACAATAAAAAGTGTGGTTGGGTGTGGGGCACACACCTTTAACCCTAGCGCTTGGGCAGAGGCCAGCCTGGTCTGCGCAGGGAGTTGAGACTACACAGCGAGACTGTCTCAACAACAACAACAGCAACCAAGACATTTTAGAAGATAGGTTGGCGCCATGTCATAGGCCTTTTCTGACTGTTGCATTGGGCCCTTTTCTTCTGCTCCTATTGTTAATATAGAGCCCAGCTCTTTCAGCCAAACCATCTCAGGTCATCAGTTGCAGTAAGTATCCCTTTAAAGCTCACACGCACATGTCTTGGCTTAACTTTTCCTCTGGAAGTTGGGTATGATTCATGCTTAGCTTTGCCCTCCTTTACACATGACCATTTGTCCTTGAGACTTACTCACTCGCAGGGCATTTGTCCTTACCAGGAAAGAGCCACAGCAGTCATGGCGCAGGCTGTGGGACATTCGTGTTTTCCTCATGACCTTAGGATTCTGCGTTGATGACACACTGCACAGCAATGTTTAGTTTCTCCTCCTTCTGGCTGCTGGGGTTGGGTCTCTGTGGCATCTCTGAAATAATGAGAACAGTGTAAGGTCATCGTCACTGATCGGACAACTGTCACTGCATGGGAGTTCCCTGTAAATGGTGGCAAAAGCGCTCAACTAATTTTCACATATAATTCCTTTCAAAGAATTCCTTTGTTCTTGTGCGAAATTAAACATTCCCCAAACAAATATATTAAAATGCAAATTTGGAGATGCTTTTAGAGAATAACAGACTGAAGAACTGCATTTCAGATTAGCTGACAATCGAGCCCCCATTTGTCAGTAATTTTTCAGAAGAGCCCGGGATGTTCTCCTCTTCTTATTTTCATTTATAAATTCAATTTAGGAGTGCAATGAGACAGACTGATTCTCCTGCCTTGCTGTCTGATTTACTTACTTCTCGAGGATAAATGACATTCAGGAGGGGCTGCTGCTCAGAATCCCAGGGCCCTAGAAGAAAAGGCCTTTGCATGTCTTAGAAATGCCAGTTCTGTTTAGTCTCAGCGACGTCACCCAGCCTGTGCAACATCCTGCATTCTTGTTCTGCTCTGCTCCTGTGCTCTCTGGGAAGGCAGCTTCTTGGATGGCTCTGTATTGCTGCACTTGCCTAAAAGTGACACCATCCTTCAGGGCTCCTGCTTCATGAAAGAGTCTGCCATGCATTCTGCAGGATACAGAAGAAAATGACTGACAAACTGACAATATAGGCAGACCTGTCTTTGAAATTTCCTACTTTATGAAAAAATCTGTTGGATACTATAGGCCTGTAGGCTGAAGATGGATGACCCAATGGTACAGAAGAACTTTGGGTGACTTCTGGAGTCTTTGATGATGTTGAAGAATTTATAGTTATAGATATATAGATATAGTTATATGATATAGTTATTATGAAAGATAAAGTAGATGTAAACATTGTAACTAATTCTTGCTTGATAACTGTTTTGTTATATGTAATTTTACTATGTTAAAAAAGGGGGTGGTGATTTGGGAGGTGATGTATGCTGGAATACCATTGGTTAATAAAGAAACTGTCTTGGGCCTGTGCAGGGAATAGAGGTAGGCTGGGAAAGCTAGACTGAATGCTGAGAGAAAGAGGGTGGAGTCAGGGAGAAGCCATGGAGCTGCTGCTGGAGTCAGACATGCTGAAACTTTGCTGGTAGGTCACGACCTCATGGCGACACACAGATTAATGGAGATGGGTTAAATTAATATGTAAGAGTTAGCAAATAAGAAGCTAGAGCTAATGGGCCAAGCAGTGATTTAAATAATACAGTTTCTGTGTGATTATTTCAGGTCTGAGCTGCCAGGTGGCCAGGAAACAAACAAGCGACCTATTATAACAGCTCTGTATTAAAACTCAGCTTAGGTGTCTTGCCTTTACCCCCACGCAGCATGTGAACTGATCTGTGTGGTTCTGTGGATCAGTGACAGGATGGGGTTAAGAGAAAAATCTGCTCCTTGTACAGATTAATCCATGATTGGTAAAGCATTCATCAACTTGTAGGAAAGAATATAAATGCCCGTCAAGGGACAGTCACGTTGCTGACACAGTGTTGGGTATTTGGGGGCAGTTCCGTTGAGCTCCCAGACAGTCTCCAAGCTGGTAACCCCACGGCTCCCTGCCTCACACGCAGCTCAACTCCAGGCAGTTGTTCAGCTGGTTGGTATTACAAAGTGCAGCCAGCTGATCACATTTAATGGCTCGAATAGACCTCTGATAAACTTTTTATTTTAAAAAAAAAAAAGGGGGCAATGGCTTCACCAAGGCAGTAGGGTTATCTTGCATATGAGGAAAGCATGGGCAACCTAGTAAGACCTTGCCTAATGAAAGCAAACAAACAAACAAACAAATAGAAAACCAAATCTAGGGTTGGGACTTCACAGGAAGGGTAAACACCTAATGTGTTTGTTACAAAAAGAAATGCCAGACAGACATGATGCTGTGTAATCCTGTACTTTATCCATGTGTGCCCAGCGCAGGAATATAGGAGGAAGTGCACAGACTTGCCCTCCGCACACTCTTAGGAGATGGCTCCAGACTACAGGTGGGACCGGCCCTATGTCCTCCGTGATTGCATATATATGCAAAGCTATAAAACGACAACAAACAAACACAAAAAACACAAACCTTTTTCTTTTTTTTTTTTTGTTTTTGTTTTTGTTTTTGTTTTTTGAGACAGGGTTTCTCTGTAGCTTTGGTGCTTGTCCCGGAACTAGCTCTTGTAGACCAGGCTGGCCTCGAACTCCCAGAGATCCGCCTGCCTCTGCCTCCCGAGTGCTGGGGTTAAAGGCATTTTTGCCACCACAAGATGTGGTGGTGGCACACGCCTTTAATCCCAGCCTGGCTTTCTTCACTTTTTAAAAATCACAGCTGCAGTGATTATGTATTTATGCTGAGAACTATTTTGTTTTTGTTCTGTGGTCTTTCACCTACTTATCCAATAACCTTTAAAGCCCAAATCTTCACATTCTCCTATAACAGAGACAAACCACTTTTAGTTCTCGCCCTTCCTTTCTCACATCTTGTGACAAATATCTATCTAGCTATCTATCCGGCTTAGTTAAGGTTTTTATTGCTGTAAAGAGACACCAGACTATGACAACTCTTATCATTTAATTGGGGTGGCTTACAGTTTCAGGGATTTAGTCCATTATCATCGTGATGGGGAGCCTGGCAGCGTGCAGACAGACATGATGGTGGAATAGCTGAGACCCATACATCTTGCAGGCAACAGGAAGTTGACAGACAATCACACTGAGAGAAGTTTGAACAAAAGAGACCTCAAAGCCCACCCCCACAGTGGCACACCTCCTCCAACAAGGCCACACCTCCTAATAGTGCCGCGCTGTTTGGGGGCCATTTTCTTTCAAACCGCGGTTCTCTGCCTGCCTTTCTCTGTGACAGTGCCATGGAGCAGTCATGTTGGCATTTCTTTCTGCACCTTGTATACAGTTACCTCATCCAAGGCTCAAGGAAACCGAGGTAAAGGGGATGAGAAGAATTTAAGAGCCAAACGATGAGAAACCCTTCTGTGGGACAGTCTTCTGGACATGTCACAGGAGCAGTGGCTACCCACTGACACAAGACTGGGCAAGTCAATGACCCACTCTGGAGGAGGACAGGGCTCATAAGGGCCACGCCTTCCAGAGGAGTCATAGGCAGTTAATGGTTGCTAGGAGATGAGAAGTCATATTCCTTAGTGGTGTAGACATTGGGAAATTGCCTTTGTTCAAGTAAATAACTCCCTAGCCATGCTCATGAAGACGATTCTAACCAAATGCAGTGGGCCACAAACAAAGACATGAACATAAGTGTGGGGGTTCTCACTGTGGGAGGTTAAGAGGATAGTAATGGGGTGTGATCCAAGCCTAGCTATAGAGAGATGTAGGTATAGCTATATACGTGAATATATAATAGATTTGAAAAGGGAAGCAAAACACCCCCAACACTCTGCCACCCAGTGTTTTCAATTCTCCATGAGAACTGTCTTTTAGTTTCATTTCGTTTTGTTTTCTGCATCGAAAGAAACTTTCATAAATGAGTAAGAGGCAACTCAAGAACCCAGCTGAGGGCCTGAATAAGCAATTCCCAGAAAAAGAAACACAAATGGCTTTTAAACGTGAAAAATGCTTAGACTAGATGCTTGTTAAAGGGAAAAAAAATTAAAAGTTGTGTAAGAAATGCAACCTGATCCACAGCCTGGCTTGGCCACACATAATATTGATACTCTAAATGTAACCGGCCAGCGAACAGAATGGACTGGGAATGGTCCAGCTACAGACCTCTCTGTCACCTCCGTTCTTCCACCCTGCCTCCTGAGTGCTAGGATTAAGATGCTCAGTCTTTGTGCAGGCATGCACGTGTGTGTGTGTGTGTGTGTGTGTGCGCGTGTGCGTGCATGTGGGGGTGTGCATGTGTGTGCGAGTGTGTGTTTAAACACCATAAAGGACAATTTGCAGGGGTCTGTTCTTTGCTTCCACCGTGTGGAGCCTGGCAATCAAACTCCAGTTGTCCCACTTTTTAAATTGTGGGTTCTGGGGATGGATTGAGGTCCTTGTAGGTGCAGGACAACGTTTTACCTCCTGAGCTATTTCCCCAGCCTTCTCATAGGTTATTGCAAAAATCAAAATCCATGACACATGTCACATGCTTAGACATGCATGAGACTGTTGTCCTTGTCATTGTTGCTGGTTTTCTTCCGACTGGTCATGGGATGTAACTTTGTCCTGTAGGGATGACCTCTACCCATCCCCAGTGAGCCTGTTAGCCATGACTCTCCTGCTGTCTGCTGTACAACTCAAGAGTGTGGCTGACATGAACTATAATAGAATAACCTACTTCATACAACACTTGCATAACTTCCTGAGGAGGTCTTTGCCATTTTCCTTACTGCTTATAGGTCACTGTGTCAGTAAAATAACAGGCCAGTGTGGTTCAGCTTCACCCTGATGCCAGTTGACTATGTTCTCAGACATCGACAAATAAATCGCTGGCCTTGGGCATAGCACTAATTCAGACAGCTGGGTCAGAACACGGGCCAGTTGCCCTTCAAGACCTGCGAGCTAGAAAGAACCTTTGCGGTATTCTTAAGGGTGTGTGAAAAATCAGACTCAAAATAAAACCTGATATGAACAAAACCAAAGACTTCAGAGACTGGCATGTGTATCTTAAATCCCCCACTGGTGGGACTGGAGGGCTCCCCTCAATACCAGTCCTAATAACTGGAGAGGTATACACTGCGCCTACGATGTGCAGAGCTGCTGATGGCCCGAGCAGATAATGGTACAGAAGAAGATGATGGGAAAGTGTTGCCGATGTGATTTCATTTATGTTATAATAATGACAAGCCAGTGCGTCTCTAGATCCGTAAAAAAATGCATAAAGGAAGTTCACTTAAGTATAGTGTGGTTGTCTCTGAGTGGTAGAATTTAGTGCGATTTCTTTTTTCTCTTTTTACTTCTTTTTCACTGTAAGTTACAGAACTAAAAGAACTTTGTTGAAATCTACAAACACATCATTTTTGTAGTCTAGATACAACAAAACCCACATTTTTCTGAAGAATAATATATATGTTAATATATATATATATCCTTTCTAAGCTCAGCTAACCTTCTGTGCCTCAGTTTCTCCCATCATAAAACAGACAGGAATAGTCTCTTTAAGATTATAAAAATCAAATTCTTTAATATGTGCAAAATTCTTGGAACTCAAAATACTGGAATATTTAATGCTACTTGTGTAGGGTTTTCCACAGACACAGGAACAAGAATATACAGAGACAAAAAAGGAGAGATTATAGAACTGGGCCCCATGATTATGGATGCCAGGAAGCTTCAGCTGTACTCTGCAAGCTGAAAACCTGGAAAATTGATCCAGAAGCCTGAGTCCCCAGGGGCCAAAGATTCCCCAACTGGAGTCCCAGCCCAACGTCCATTCACTCCTCCCTCTGCCTTTTTGTTCTATCCAGACTCTCAGTAGACTGGAGAACAAGCTTATACACTGGTGAGGGCCATGCCTTCTACCGGTCTATCCATCTGAATACTAATCTCTTCTAGAAACTCCCTCACAAATGCCTATAAACCACGTCTTACCAGTTATGAGAGAGTCCGTTCCTCCAGGGAAGCTGACACATGGCATTGTAGATGGTGATGGCTGGTGGTGCTTTTCTTAAAGCTCCACACCATGCAATGGTGTAGATAGAACAGGAATTACAGGAGCAAGGATAATGACAAATTGCTGTTGCAAGGCCATGAGCTAGACGTGTGATAATTGGGAAGAAAGCGGTGGTCATTGTTGACACATTTCTACGGTTAGGACGACTGCAGTTGCTTGGCAACTACAAGAAGTGCTTTGCTGAGATTGTTTTATCTATTATTAGTGTGTGTCCCTGTATGCAGGTGAGGGCCCCAGCCATCAGAGGTCATCTTTGTGGAGTCCATTCTTTCTCCACCTCCACCTGAGTTCCAGGCATTGAACTCGGGTCCTTCAGCTTGAGCAGCCAGTGTCCCACCCACTGAGCTATCTCATTGGTCCAGGAAAAATGAACTTTTTTTTCAAGACATGGTTTCTCTGTGTAACTACCCTGGCTGTCCTGTACTAACATGCCCGGCTAATAGACTCATTTTTAAATTGATAAATTTCAAAACCATGTTCTAGATTCATAATGAAACAAGCGATCTTTACAAACTGCAGTGAGGGGCTCTTCACAGCACACAAGGGTACACGCTGCATGTGTGCAGTGCAGTTCAGGATTCCAAGCTCTGCACATGGTCCTGAATCTCAGCTTTATATAGGAAATACTTGTCTCTGGCTCTCCATAGTGCCACCCCAACTCAGCTGCGTCTGCCTTCTGCTGATTAGGGCATCTGGACTTGAACTCCAGGTCCAGGTTATGTCATGAGATGACAACTGATGAAGAATGTGGAAGCAAAGGCGAGTCATCCTCCAACCTTTGCAGAGGACCCAGGTGAAGAAACCCGGGTGAAAAAGAGGGAGACACTGGCTCAAAAAACAAAAAACAAAAACAACAACAACAACAACAACAAAAAACCCAACCCCAAACAAAAACCCACATCAAACAAAAAAAAAAACCCACACAATAAATTTTTTTTTACTTAAAATGTATTTTCATACACAGGCATGAATTCTTGTAAAGATTAAATACACAGATTTTCTAGGTACTTTGGCTTGGTGATATATGTGAGCAGGTTGGTGTTCTGTTATTCTGCCTCCTGATATTCCACTAAGAAAATAAAGAATAACTCAGAAAATGGTGAAAGTGTGGTCAGCGGCACACGATGTGGGGAGACCTCCAAGTCTTCATCCCATACAACCATTTTGACTTGAAGGATTTAGAGCAGTGTGCCAAGGAAGTCAATAAAATGGAAATCTGCATTGATTTGCACCTCCCAGCTTCTCAGGGTGGCATCCAAGACAAATGGGCTGCGAGGCCTTTGCGCGGCTGTGTTTGCAGACTACTGAGCAGCATCGGAGAGCTGGGAAGACGGTCCTCTGTGGACTGAACTGTAAAATCAAGCACAATAGGTTAAAGCATGAATATTCAGAAGTGAAGGAGACTCAGGCAGGCTTGGCTGTTGAGAGCAGGCACAGAGGGGGGAACTTGGGCAGTGCCCACCAAGCAGAAATGTCAGCCAGCTCCCTTTTCATCTGGACTCCTCCACACAGCCATTCCCAATGTGTGGGGAGACCCTGGAGGTTGTCATGGACACTCCAGGAGTTCAGAGTCCATGGAGAAGCCCTTCCCATGCGTGAGATGGGCGAAGCTGTGTGCCTGACACTTAAGCATTCAACCAATGTAGCTCTTCCTGCCTTTTTTCCCTGTTCATAAACAGTCTGCTAATGACTCCAGCTTCCCCGTCAGTGTCTGCAGGGAAATTCTAGAAAGAGAATATGGATTCCATGTAGTCTCATCTTCATAATAATTAACTTTGACGCTGTAAAAATGCATTGTTATTCAGCTTATAATTTGGCTTCCAATACGAAGTAACTACAGGGAGAGACTGGGCTAGCCAGGCCCGCTCAGGTCATGTGTTTTGCTGTTGTAAGGGAAATCTCAGTGCCTCCTTTAGAGCCTCAGAGCACCCGAGGAATGTGTACTGGGAAACAGCCAGTGCTAATGCACCGGTGTTGTGGTTTTGCATCTAATCCCGTTCCTTGGGTTCAGATGAATGTAATTGGCAAAGCTAGGTTTCTACCCGCGTTATGCCAGAGGCAACCAGTGAGCCATGGATCTGTCCTCTGAGGCCAGTGAGTTCCTCCCATCTTTTCCTAAGACATAGACTATAATAGAATAGAATTTACTAATATTATCCAATGATTTGAACAGCCTGTGATGTATAGCTATTGCTTCTGAATTGAAACCTTCCCTTCTAGAGGGGGAGAGAGGTTCTGAAGTGGAGGATGAGGTTTGGGAGGTGCTGTGCTAGAGAGGTATAGCTCAACAGTTAAGAGCACTTCCTGATCTTGCAGAGGACCTGGGTTCAATTCCAAGCCCTACATGGTGGCTCACCACTCTCTGTAACTCTACTTCCAGAAGATCGAAGCCCTCATCTGACCTCTGTGGGAATCAGGCACACATGTAATGCATATACATACACGCAGACAGAAACCTCACGCACATAAAAATAAATAAAAAAGAAAATAAAACATGATGCTAGTCTCTGGAAGCTCCTGGACCTTACAGGAGTCATGGGGCCTCTCTCTGGGGTGGGGACTGTACAGAAGTCGGGAAGCCTCTCCCAGAAGTCATATAAACAGCTGCCTCAGGGAGGAGACCCTTCCGATGGCCTAGTTACGGGAAGCTGTGCTGGGTGCTCCCAGGATGCAGCTCTTCTGAGTCATGACCATACCTGGTGGGCTTTTTTATGGTGTTGTAGCTGTCTTTGGGTCACTCATTCTCCTGAGAGTCACCCGTCACCTCTGCCTCCAAAGTAATCCCAGAATTTGCAGGTTGGCTAAGGTAGATCAGGGTGGGGAAGTTCCTTTAGTCTGTAGTTGCTGCCCTTTCTATATGGAAAGACATTTGTTGGTGTCTTCCTGGGAAAGCAGTGAAATAACCTAGCAACAAAGTTATGGGATATCTACGCCAAGCAGTGAACTTTGTTTCTGAATGGTCGGCCTGGTGCTATTGTTTCTGGCACTAACTAGGCAGGAAGACCGAGAGCCTGTCAGGGCCATTCCCGTGTCGTGATGACAGATTTACTAGTGTCTTCTGCATGGTAGGGAATATCTGTCTCTTTATTCTCCTACTACAGGAAGCTATATGTCCCAGCTGCCCCAAAATGATTAAATGCAATTGTGACCTGAGTATAACTCTGAAGGAAAGGCCCCAACCATTTTTTATTTTGTTCCATTGGAAATTACCTGCTCTCTTGACCTTGGAAACCCTGGGTCACAACCCCATGTCGGGGCATAAGTGGGGCAGTGTAAAGGGTTTACGAACAATAAGAAGTTTCTGAACACACAAGTGAAGAATCGATTCAAAAATCAAATACTGTCTGTCGGAGCCCTTGCCTGTGTCATATCACGTGACTGCGCAGAAGTGTCAGGTCTGAACACACTGTGAGGATTCACACGGCGGGCGCACGCCATCAATCACACCAGGCAAAGCCAATGGACACCGCCTGATACACCTGAGTTTTTATGAATGACGGGGTTCCCTGCTCTTGGCCACGCGATGGTTTACTCACAAGAGAGATGTTGTTTCCCCGATCTTTGGACTGCATTGCATTAGGATGCTGCATTTTAAAAATGCTTTCTGAGTGACTGATTTGAGTTTCATTTAAAAAAATATTGTTAAATGACTATTGTCTTGGGATTAGGAGTAGATTTTTGTTTTTTTGTTTGGTTGGTTTGATTTTGGTTTTTTGAGACAGGGTTTCTCTGTGTAACAGTCCTGCCTGTCCTGGAACTCACTTTGTAGACCAGACTGTCCTTGAACTCACTGAGCTCTGCCTACTTCTGCCCCCCCGCCCCCCCCCCCGTGTTGGCATTAAAGGTGTGCACCATCTCTGCCCAGCAGGAGTGGATTTTTAATAATTTCTGAAATGATCCTAACTCTAACTTCTGACATTTTGTACTGTGTATTTGTGTGAGGTGGTGTTCTCGGCATTGACAATTGTAACACCAAAACCTCAGTCATCCCTGCTAACCCTTGAAGTTGTTCCGCTTTCTGCGGTATCAAACATTCAGCCAAGATTTAATTCTTTCCATGAATAAAAGCTAAACACAGCCACCTCGTTAACATGCAGTTTTCTTTTCTCCTTAGTAAACGGTGAGTTTGTATGCACACCGAAGACTTGCTTAAAGCAAATCTGTACAGTAAATGTTTGTTTATATGCTACATTCCCTAGGCTGTGTAAATTTCCTTACATGGAAAGGGGGTCACAGGGAGAAGACTCTAGAAGCCCTGGTCAGAGCATAGGTCCAAAGGCATCACAGCTAATGGTCACTTCCCCTTAACCCAGGCCCAGCTGAGGTTCATAGAGCTCAGGCCTAGAAAACAAGTGTTTGCCATGCTGGGCCTCGAACTCACAAAGATTTGCCCACCTCTGCCTCCTGAGTGCTAGGATTTAAGGTGTGTGCCACCACCGCCAGACTCATTTTAGCATTTCAAAAGAATGTTACATAGTAACTGGCGCTGGAGACCCTGCTCAGCACTGAAGAGCACTGACTGCTCTTCCAAAGGGCCTGGGTTCAATTCTCAGCACCCACAGTTGTGGGTAACTCCAGTTCCAGGGGACCTGACACCCTCCTCACACAGACACATGTGCAGGCAAAACACCAATGCGCATAAAATAACAAATAAATAAATTATAAAGAATGTTCTATATCTAGCCTTCAGGAACTGGCTTTTTTCACTCCGTGTATTCCTCTGTAGATTCATCAGTTTTGTTATAAATATCCAACAATGGCTCAGGCTTGGTGTGGCACCCCACACTTTGGATCCCACACTTTGAATCACAGTGCTTGGGGGCAGAGGCAGGATCTCTGAGGTTTGAGGCCAACTTGGTTTACATAGTGAGTTCCAGTGAGCGAAAAATAAAAACATGAGGACATGACTCTCTGAAATAGATGAATGAAAAAAACAGAACAAAGAAATGACATGATGCTGCTGGGTATGGTTGAGGAGGGAGAGACCAGCCAGAGGCATCTGGGGGATACAGACTTGGAAGGGCCTTGATGGGAGAGGAAAAGGAGAGGGAGGGAACAAAGAGAGAACCTGGGAACCCAGAGACTAAGGAGAGCAAGAGATCTGCTTGGCCAAAATGGCTGGGTTATATAGGCATCCGAAGCTGGGGGAAGGGAAGGCTCGCGCAGCTAACACCCGCTTTGACTTGTTAAATAGGCACCTCAGTCCTTCGTCCTGAATTTGGGACCTAACATCCAGGTCACCCAGGGCTACCTAGCGAGAGCCCTGTCTGAAAAAAAAAAAAAAAAAAAAACACAAAGCGGAACAGAACAAAAGCCGTGGCGTGGATCTATCAGCTTATTCAATTGTTCGTTATTGGAGAACATCTGGCTTGTTTCAAAATCTGGCTATCATGAGCAAAGCGCCTATGAATATTCATGGAAATTTTTCATTAACATAGCTTTTCATTTCTCCGGGGTAAAACCCCAGTCGTGAAGCTGCTCCGCTCCTGTGGCATTTGCATATGGCAGACTGTCTTCCTGAGTGGCTGTGCGCTCGCTCTCTCTCTCTCTCTCTCTCTCTCTCTCTCTCTCTCTCTCTCTCTCTCTCTCATCAGCACATGAGCATGACTCAGTTCCTTGCTAGCATTCGGTGTGGGCACAGTTTTGTATTGGTCATTTTGGAAGGTGTGTAGTTTTACTGGGATTTTAATTAATTTACATTGCCCAAATAGATAAAGATGCTGAATGTATTATGTGTAACTAATTGCCATTCACTTTTTTTCTTTTTGGCAAAATGTTGCCTTATTGGTTTTACTTTTTTTCCCATTATTTTTTAAAGATCTGTTTTATTTTTAATTCTGTGTATGTAGGGGGA